GGGGGGAGGGGGGAGGGGGAGCAATCGAGCCACATGTCAGTCGGAGGAGGACACAGGGAGGCACAGAAGGAGGGCCCCTGGGCAGGCACGCACAGCTGACAAGCAGGTGCTTGATGTTCCACACATCCAGGTCCTTGGAGTGTGCCGTGAACTCCCGGAAGAACTCCGTGAAGGAGGCATCATTGCCGTCCATTTCTGTGGAGAAGGATGTCACCGGGGCAAGGGCGGCAGGAGGCGGTGAGGAAGGGGCGTACGGGGCGAGAAAGAGAGGGAGAGAGGGAGAGAGGGAGAGAGAAAGAGAGGGAGAGAGGGAGAGCGAAAGAGAGAAAGAGAGAAAGAGGAGGAGGATGAATGAAGCCACCGGCTCGCACCACATAGACTCAGAGTGCGAATGGTTCGGGTTTGGTGGATGGCCCGCGCAAAGAGCGAGATATCCTTGGTGATCTCCAGCTGCTCCAGCGACAGTAGAGCCAACGACAGGACCGCCCGGCCCTTGAGCGTTTCCAGCCACGCCGCCTCGTCGAGACTGACCTCCTCATCCAGGCGCTCCCAATCCTCGCGCCCGGCCTCGGTGTCATCCTCATGATCGGCACGCCAGGCAACCGAGTTCACCGGCGGCGGGATGTACACATTGGACCCGAGCCCCGACCCGGCGGGGAAGTAAGACTGCCCGTCGGCGGTGGGGCTGGTCGTGGCGGCATGGGCCCCAAGCGAGGCGGTTCCCGCGCCGCCGGCTCCCGCACCGGCCGACCGGCCAGCGGCCGCCGACCCGGCCGTTGTCTTGCCCGTTGGGAATGCCTCGTCCGGCAGCGACGAGCAATAGGGCACGGCCGGCTCATAGTCATAGACATTGTCCCCGAAGCCGATGCCCGTCAGGCCGAGGGCCCGGCGGATGCGCTTGCGCGCCTCATGCGAGATGCTGGTGCCTGCATGCCGGCCGGCCGCGGCACCACAGTCGAAGCACATGCAGGAAGGAGGCGGAGGAGGAGGGGGGAGAGGAGGTGGGTTAGGTGGGAGCCGCAGTGCATGTGTGTGTGTGTCTCTGTCCCAGGCAATGGGGGGCGGGAAGCGTAGCATGAATGAAGAAGGGGGAAACCGCTCTGTCACACGCACCCCGCAGGAGGATGATCTCCAGGCGGATGGCCGAAGCATAGTTGTTGATGGCCGACAGGAAAAGGGGCACAATCTCATCGGTGAGCCCTTGGTTGCCTGTGCGAGGGGGGAGGGGGGGGGGGGGGCACACCAAAATGGTTAGCCGTGGCTCACATGCCCGCAGGTGTGGATAAGTGGCAAGGAAGGAACGCACCCTCCAGACTCAGCTCGCGCAGGGACTTGCTCCAGCAGAGAGCATAAGCGATGGCCGCACCGCCCAGGAAGTCGCACATGGACGTGGAGGCGATGTGGAAGACATCCAGCGTCGGGAGGCTCGACTGAACCGACACCGAGGGCGAGAAGCAGTACATCACGCGCTCGAGGATGGAGAAGGCCAGCTCCGGGGTCGGGGCCAGCGGCGAGTATGTCCGGTCCTTGGGGAAGCTCGGGCGCTGGCGGACCAGCTTATGCACGATGTCCGTGTGCGAGGCGCCCTGGGGGAAGGAAGCGATGTCCAATCCGGCCGATCGAGCCCGGCGCACAGCCGAGATGAGGGCGATGGCACCGACCGAAGAGATGGACGCGTCTGTTGGCGGCAGGGGGGGGGGGGGGGGGGGGGGGAGGGCAGCGCGAGGGGGTCAGACGCGAGGTGAGGCGCAACATATCAAGACACAACACGGGGACCACACACCAGCCACGAACAGGGCCGAGAGGGTGCGGTTCTCAATGAGCGCGTCGGCCAGCAGGGCGGCACCAAGATCGCCGATATTGCAATCTGCGAGGCAGCGGAGGGGAAGAATCGACAGGCGGGTCAGTGGCGATGTGAGAATGGGTGCGTCTGGTCGCACGAGGAGAGGCAAAGACACGTACACCGCAGCGACAGAACCTTGAGGGTGGTGTTGACGGCGATCGGCGTGCGGAGAATGCGCGTGAGCGAGGGATTGGGGAAGGCCTTGCTAAGTTCGAAGATCATGGACTCCAGCTCCGGGTCGCTGGCACGCGAGTAATCCGCCACCTGGGATGTCTGATTGTCTGTGGTCCAAGAGGGGGGCGGGGTCAGCGGGAGGGGGGGGAGGGGAGGGGATGGAAGGATGCAGGGCGCGCTGGAGGAAGGGGGGCGCACTGTCGATCGCCAGGTGGATGAGGTTGTGGTCCTCGATCAGGAAAGAGCCGAGGATACGGAAGTGGACCGAGTCTAGGCCGACGCCTGGCAGGGGGGGGGGGGGATGGACGAGTGGGGATGAGTGGGGGGGCTGGGCGACATGGAATGGCGGCGGCGGTGGAACAGGAGAGCAGGGGAACAGGGGAGCAGGGGAAGACGCACCGCAGAGGCCGAGGTATGAAAAGTTCTTCGAGGGAAGCAAGCTGTTGGTGAGCATGCCGCTGAGGTCGCCCGATCCCAGGGGGTTGTCTGGAGGAGGCGTGGACGGGGAGTGTCAGAGCAATGTTAGCACGCCTAGTTGTAGGAGTATGGGGGGCAAAGGGAGGGAGGGAGAGAGAGAGAGAGAGAGAGAGGAAGTCCATGGCAAAGGGAGGCAGGCCCGAGGTGAAGGGGAAGGGCTCGACGCACTGGCGAAGTTGATCCGGAAGTCCGGGGTATTGACGCTGCCGAGGATGAATTGCGCCCCGTCGGCGGTGATGAAGTTATCTAAGGGGGGAGGGGGGGAGGGGGGTGAGTCGCGCTCCGAGGGGCGGCAACGGCAACACCAGCGGCGAGGGAAATGGGGCCAAGGCAAGAAGAAAGCGCACCCTGGAGGTCCAGCACCTGGAGCGTGTGATTGTGAGAGATGGCCTGAGCCAGGAGTTGTGCCGAGAAGTCGGTCAGCCCGCACCCGGGCAGGAAAAGCTCCGACAGGTGCTGGAAGTTGTACTTGAGCCCGTGCGCCAGCAGGCGGATCGGCATCGAGGCCACCGTGTGCCAAGACCGGCCGGTGGCCTGGATGAGCCGGTCCAGCGTCGGGGTGGTGTTGGACAGGAAGTGATCGGTGGCCATGAGCCGAGGCGAGTAGGTCACCGGGGCCGGGCGCTTGGCAGCCTTGGAGCCGCCGCCGCCGCCGCCGCCGCCGCCGCCGCCGGTCGGCGGGTCCGGCATGTCGAAGAGCCCGGCCTCCAGGCACAGGGCATGGACCTGGCACAGGTGCGGTGTCAGGCTGCCGGAAATCGGAAACACCCCGGCCGACAGGGACCCGAGTGAGCAAATGTCACACCCGCGGTCATCCGGCTTGGCGAAGCTCGCCAGCAGGGGGGCCAGAGCCGGCGAATCGAAAACCGACAACGACCCAAGGAGATGGCCTTCGTTGGGGGGGGGATGGGGGGGCAAGGGCAACAGCGAGACCGATGGGGCAGTCGGACCCGGCGCGGTACAAATGGTGAGTGGGACGGCAGGAGCGCGGGGGGGGGGGGGCAAAGGCGAAGAGCGCACCGCCCAAATTCAGGTACACGATCGGCGAGTTCATGGCCACCACCCGGCCAAGGATGACCGACAGGCCGAAGGCCGTGATGGATCCGAGCGCGCCAGACAGGTCGATCAGCGAGAAATCCGACTTGGACCCGCGGATCAAGGTCGACAGGGCCACGGCACCCTCATCTCCGATGTCGCCCTCTGTGTGCGGACACGCGAGGGAGAGAGGGGCAGGGGAGAGAGTCGGGGAAGACGGTCAGCACGCGGGCCTGGGAGGGGCATATGGGCGGCAAGGCAGGAGGGCGGCAAGACGGGCGCCAGAGCCGCCGGGGGGGGGGGGGGGGGGGGCGGTGTCCGACGAACCAATGACCAGCGTGCGCAAGTTCGGCCGCGGGAGGTTGAAGCTGTTGAGGCCCAGGCGGAAGGTGAGTATCCGAGAGTTCTCGGCGGTCGGCTCGGTGTCACTGCCCCGGGCGGCGGCCGCGATCAGAGCTTGCGTGAGTTCGCCAAAGGGCGCCGACACAGGGGTGTCAGATGTGGTGCTGCCGGGGGGGATGGCGGCCGCGGCCGCGGCCGCAGTGGCTGCCCGGCCAGAACCCTTGGAGGATCCCCGGCCGCCGGAGGCGCGACCCCCGCGAGCCGGGCGTCCGGATGCCGGGGCCGTGGCCGCCCCGGAGCCCGGCCGCCCCCGGTCGCCACCGGCCGCCAATTGATCGAACCCCGGCAGTGACCGGAAGTAAATGTCGGCCGGCAGGGTGCCAGTGTGCGAGAGGAAGAGGTTTTTCAGCAGCCGCGGTAGCTCGGCCGCCCGGCCAAAGTACACGGTCGGGTAGTACACCGGCTGGTAGGTGGCCGGCAGGAGGCTGTCTGACCGCTGGACAGTGGCATTCCAGACAATGTCACGCGCTGGGGGGGCTCCGGCGACGGCGGCGGCCGCGGCCGCGGCGGCTGCCACCGCCGCCGCCCCCGGTCCAGAGGGGGCCGATCCCCCGGGCGGCGGAAGTGGCGGCGTCGATGGCGGTGGCGGCGGTGTGCCCCCGGGCCCGGGGGAGCCCTGTTGCCGCGATGCCAGGGCCGTGTGGACCGATGAAAAGGACAGGTGGTTCTCCCAGGGGAGCTGCGACGCCGGGGAGTACCACTCGGACTCGCGGGTGTTGGTTTGGAGCCGGTAACTCTCTCGTGGCGAGAAGTACGGGCCCGATTCGCTCATACTATGGACGGGGCGCGCGGCGGTTTGCGAGTGTAGGGCGGAGGGGAAGGGAGGGGAGGGGGGGGCAGAGAAGGGGACGGAGAAGGGGGCAGAGAGGGAGCGCGAGGGGACGACCAGCAGCAGGCGAGGGGGGCGGTGGAGGGGGAGTGCATGCTTGTCCACAGCGGCGACGGTCGATCCGCGCCGGGCATTTCAATCAGAGGCCCTCCCTGCTGCCGCCCCCGGGGGCGACAGCAGATGGGACGGCCAGGGTGGGGACGAGGGTCAAGGGGAGGGGGCGGGCGAAAGCCCGGGGCTTGCTCGGCCGGCGATGGATTGAAGCGCGGGAGCGGGTGCGGCCGGCGGCCGCCACAACACGACCCTCCCGGGTCGGCGGCACACCACCCTAGTCAGTGCGCGCCCGGCTCCCCAACTGCCTTGGTCGCAAACTGCCCCCCCCCCCCCCGCCCCTCGGCCAAGCACACCCGCCCTGCCGGTCCTTTCCGCAGGGTTCCCGCCATCCGTTGCGCAGGCATCTCGCGCCCTGCGAAAGCAGGAGAGTGGGCGCCAGAAACACGAAAGAGGAAGCCTGGCGTGGCAGGGGCCTCTCGCCCTGTGGGCGTATGGATGCCAGACCGGGGGGG